TACTGCATTACATCTTTCCCACTGGACTACCAATTCATCCTTGTACATGCTCTTCAAGCAAGTTCCATCTATGAAACCTACCTTGTTCTTCACTAACAGTGCTAATCTCATTGATCTGCTCCAAAGACCATAATTCTCAGGTCCTGTGAGTTTGGTTGCAATCAATGCTACACCAGGCGTGTTTGAAGGTTGCAAGTACAGTGGGTGATTATGTCCCAATGTTGCTACAGTCAGCTCTGTCATGGTTGAGATCTGATTTGAGAAATTGCTTTGCGGAAAAATAAAATTGAAGTTATTTCAGCCCTAGACTCGACTGCTCTGATACCATATTGTGTTTCATAGAATCATGGAGCTAAGCTCCATTGTTGCAGATCTCTGCAACTCTAATTGAAGAAGAAGAAGGAGACAGTGAAATGAAGAAGCATCTAGAAGAAGGAGCAGAAGAATTTTTATTGATCACACGTTGATTTCATTTACACTTCCTATTTATAGGAATCATGTCAATCTGTAAAGTCACACATTAAGAAATGGAATTGGTTACAACTAACTAACAACTTGCCTAACCATCTTTATGACTGCTAACAGACTTAACTGCCATAACCATCTTTATGACTGCTAACAGACTTAACTGCCATAACCACCTTATTTGCATACTTTCATCATGTGATTCCAATAGTATGTCAACTAGATATGTTTTTTATTTATAGGAAGAACAACTTCCTATTGGTTTGTTTTGATAATTGTTTTAAGAATTTTGTATCCTTTCTCAATTTGTATTCAAAATCGTATGTATGCTATTAATATTTGTATTCATTTAAAAATCATGTTGCATAGTTTATGAATCTGGTATTGTTCCTAATTTGTATACATTCTAAAGGTATGTCAACTAGTTATGTATTTTATTTAAGAATGATTGCAACAAATATTCACTTATTCTTTTTCAGTTTTACATTTCATTCTCACATTTTCATTATATTGTTTTTTGTATTTTATATATTATTATAAAAAATACAATATAAAAGCTAGAATGAATACAAACACAAATAAAATACATATTGAAATAAATACGACTTAAGAAAGGATACAAGATTTTGAAGAAAAAAATACATGAATACAAATACGTTTCTCAAATAACTATACATTCAGTTGGCATAACTATTGGAATGAATACAAACTAATAAAAAAAAATACAAGTTTCATTATACAAAATACAACATGAAAACTATAATGAATACAAATAATATACATATTGGAATGAATACGATTTAAAACAGGTTACAAAATTCTGGAAAACAAAAATACATTGCGAAAAAGGCACACGTTTGAGTTTTCTTTAAAAAAATGTAACTGATGAGAAAATTAAGTGCTATTTATCTTTTTTTGAAATATTTTCTCCCTTGATTTTCTCCCTTTTGTTATTAAATAATTGTATTCTTTCAAATTAAACAAATTAAGAAATACATAAATAAGATATATTACAAACTAAAATATTGACACTTTTAATAAATATTGAAAATGTGGCTAAGGGATCCTATTAAATGCTAAAATATTGACATTTTGAAAATTTTCCCAAAAAAAGAAGCATTAAGCCTTCCAAAAACTTGCCCAAACAAGATTTTAAAAATAAGCACAATGAATAGCAAAAAAGAAAAGAAAAGAAAAGAAGTATACTTTTAACTTTCATATATGCAAGTTCATTGAAAGAAAAATGTATATATTTTGCATGCCTTCGTAGTTTTATTTTAATTATAATTCTTTAACTTACCCAATCTTTTTGGAAAATGTGAAATTACCTTATATTCTTAGAAATTATATATTTCACAAAAACTTATATGTACAATCCTTGCCAAAGGCAAAGCAGATTGGCCATTTATAGATCAATACTTTAGCCCCGTGAACAAGAGTACTTGTAAAAGGATCTATATTTTGGTAGGCTATTACTTCAATCGAGATTTTTAAGTCGTCCACTTAAACAATAGATCATACATATATATTAATGAATATATACATATAATATACATATTTTATACATAACTAATAAACATTATATATATATATATATATATATAACTAATAATTATAATTATTTGTGATTAACACAAAGCAGGATTAAAAAGAATAGCAAGGCAAGCAATAATGCCTAATGTATTTTTTTAAAATATATTTCTTTTTGTCCCTCAATCTTTGGGTGGCTAAATATGTAACTTATTTTTACACTATATAACTAATGTATTTTTATTTTTTTTTATATTTGACTAGCGATTGTAATTATTTTTGACAAGCGGCCAAATGTGTACTTCCAAAATTAGGCCGGATCAACCATTTAAAAAAAAAAACATTATGGAACAAAAGTTGTCTTGGTTAAAATTGGTTAGGCTAAGGTTTATAAGCTGCACAAGGCAATTCCTAGTACATTTTAGGGATGAATCCTAGCTTTCTAAATTCAAGAAAATGTGACAAAGAATTTGGTGTATCCAAAGTAATGTCTTTCAATTGTACAATATGTTTTATTTTTCACCTTTATTAAAAGTTGCAAAGGAACTATCAATTCTCTTTTTCTAGGTTGGACAATGCAAAATTATGATATTACTCCCTCCATTTCAAGTTATATCTGGACAAAAAGTTTAAGAGAAAAAAGAAGACTTCTGAAATTTGTGATTTAAAACAAACTATAGATATTTGTGTGGTTATAAATCATTTCATTGAGAATGAAAGACAAATTTTAAAGTTTTCACTTATAAATAGATTACTTTTTTTCGAATAGACTAAAAATAAGAGAGTTCATTTGACGTACAATTAACTTTTGTTGAGTTAATTTGAACATGACCCATTTTAATATACATGTAAAAGAAATTATGGACCTCCAGAGGTTGAAAATATTATTTTCTAAAAAAATTTATAGAACAGACAGACCTCATGCTGTCGATTCTTAACAATTTCTCAAAAGAACTATTGTAATTGAAGATCGGGTTTTAATATTTACTAAACTTTTTATGCAAATAACCAACCTTTAGGAGTCAGTTTTCTGCATAAAAGCTAACAATTTTTTGTATTTTTCATTGCCCACTTGTAAATTCAAAACAATTCATAATAAGCATTCAACCAGCTCAAAGAGCAACAAATTTAACATCAAACTACATTTACGTTACAATACTTCAAAATTACACTTATGATCATTCAAATTAAACAAGAATATGATCAAAACATTTCCCACAATTCATACAAAACAAGTTTCAAATGCATACAAAATAGCAAACGAGGCCTTAATTTGCATCTTCTAACCAGCACCTAGCTGGTTAGCAGATATACATAACTGGGACCACAAAAGATCAATCCTCTGGGACTGAAAAAGTAAGTCTAGCTGGGCCTGAATCCTCGCATACCTCTGACTTCCCTCTCGACTGTTGCTGTAATCAGAGGTGAACCTAGGATTGAAAGACTTCGAGTGCACTCAACTACTTAAAATAAAAACATTGAAAAAAGGCTTTAGCTAGATTCGAACCCTAATCCCAGGGATGGTTCCTCTAGCTTGTACCAACAACACAAGGACACTCATGCTTTTTTTTGGGTGCAATGTTAATTATATTCTAGTTTCTGTCAGTTTCTCAAGATATATATATATATATATATATATGATGGATCTCACAAATATTTTCTCCACATGGATACGTGAAATGTTGAATAAACTGAAGTTAACTCTATTGACAACTCTAGTTCATAGGCTAGTTGCCAAATTCTTCATAAGGTTTTATTTTACGTAATATACCTGAGATTTTAAGCTCTCTTTCTTTCAACAAATAACGCCCAAATCTCAATGTTGCCATCCAATTTTGACCCTCCGCAATATAGATTAATCATTGAGCTTCTTTAATTTCAAACGATTTGGAATAATTGGCTTTATAAAATTTAAAATATTTTTTCGAATTATTTTAAAGTGATTTTTGTCATTCTTTAATAATTTTTTAAATAATATGTATGTTTTTATACAATTATGTATATAATTAGTACATTTTATGACTATTCAAAAATCGTCTCAAAAAGATTTTGTTTTTACTTAAAAATATTTTGCTAATTAGTTTAGCTAATCAATAGTTTATATTTTTGAGTTAATTAGTTTATAATTAAGTTAATTATTTTATTTTCCTAAGATTAAAAAGCTCGTTAATTAATTAATACTAATTCGTCTTATTTAATAATTAGCCACATTTGCTAATTAAATTTAAATTCGGCTAAATTCTTAATTCAGTTTAACGAGTATTAAATTCATCTAGCCAACTTTACTCCTCTTTAGAGCTGTCAAAACAAGGCAGTCCAGCCACACCTAGCCCGAGCCTCATAGGTCAAGAAATTTGAAGGGCTAGGGCTGTCTGACCCTTCATTTGAAAGGGCCAACCCAACCCTAGAAAGGTTGTGGACTCAAGCGGGCTAGCTTTTTTTTTTCATTTTGTTTTCTATTGAATCTAAATTCAAACTTAAAAGTTTATCAATAAATTAAATTTTTAACATGTCTAACAAAATTATATGAAAGTACATAATAATTTCAATCACAACATACTTTATACATATGATTAGTGGTGATTCAAATTACAATTCCATATCTGAAATACATAACATCAATTCCTAATTAAACGCGTCGAGTTTTTCTTAGTTGCTGCTATTTACCAATATGTTATGGTTTGAACAAGTTTTCACTAAGTTCTCCTTACTATCTCTTTCATAATCTTATCTTAGTTCAATTTCTTAACCAGGTCACTAGGTGTTGTGGCACCCCAACCATACACATAGATCTGCCCCTGATGATATACATGAGTCTTTTCTCAAAGTTGGATGGTATATTTGAGCATTTTCCTTTAAAAAATGATTTAATTAATGACATGGACTAATCATAATTGACCACATGTAAAAAATGGTTTAGCGACAATTTTAACCCCACCCCAGCCCGCATAAAAATAGGGTTTCTGAAAACATTAAAAGCCGCAGCCTTTTAGGAGAAGATAGAGATGGAATTCGAAAAAAGTGAAGTCTCAATTCCTCATGAAATAATTTTTGAAATATTCTCATGGCTTCCTGTTAAATCGTTAATGCGTTTCAAGTGTGTTTCCGGATTATGTAATTCTCTGATATTCGAATCAGATTTTTTGCATATCCATAGATGTCGTTCTAGCGGAACAAAGTTCTTACTCCATAAATGGAATTCTTTTTACGCTGTTGATCTAAAGGAAGATGGAAATATCTCTACCTCCCTTTTACTAACTGAGAGATTACCTACATATTCTGGTTTGAATTGTGCTAATGGTTTATTTTGCGTTTGGGAACTATATAACGGACAACCTGCTTTGATTTTCAATCTCAGTACAAGAGAAGTAAGATTTCTTCCGAACCCAAATAAAGGTAGGTCTTGTGGAAACTATTTAATAGGTTTTGAGCCACAAGAGAACAAGTACAAAGTGTTTTTTTCGGAAACGGAATCTGGGTTCATAAAACGATGAGTTTTACCTTTAGGCATAGATGAATCGTGGAGAGAGACTCAAAGTATTTACCCTTATCTTCCATATGGTAAACCTAGTGTTTGCATTAGTGGAGTTATCTATCAGTCTGTTAGAAGTGTTGTTTTTGGTGATCAGAAATGTGCTATAGCTGCAATTGATGTTAAATCTGAAAAAGTCGAAATTATTACATTGTGGATTGAATCTTACCGGCAAGATTACAAGTTGATAGAGGTGAAGGGAAAGTTAGCAATTGTGGATTATCATCGGGTAAAGAGTTTCGACTTGTGGATTTTGGAGCATTCTCCAACAAGAGAATGGAAGAGACGTAACATTCCATTTCCTTCAAAATGGAATTACGAAGTGTCTAGACCTATACCATCCATCACTTCCCGCGATGGGAAGATTGTATTCATCTGCGAGTTTAAGCCAAAGGATTTATGCTGGTGTTATGATGTCAGTGCAAGGAGAAGGAGATGGACAAAATTAGAAATCGAGCATCTTCCTGAGAAGACCAGCATCCATCGCATTTATAGTTATGTGGAGGCTTTAGATCGTAGCATTTAGAATATGTTAAGAGTCTCAGTAAGGTTTATGGGATTTGTTAATTTTAAAAAAAATCTTTTTATTTTTAGCTTGTTCTGTTTTTTGGTCAAATATCTATACATTAATATTTATTGCATCGGGATATATGTCAAGCCTATTTTAGTTCATCTCAATAAAAGTATATGCCGATATATATTACTGTTCTGTTCTATTAATGTCACTGTGTTGCTAACTTTGGTTAGTATTCTTTCTTCTGGAATGTGTTTGGATGTTGGTGTGGTGTTGAGTGTCTTCATGACGACCACATTGATTGCGTTGTTTGGTATATGCTTTGAAGGTTTTCTCTTGGAATGCTATGATTTCTTACCTAGCTTTGAATGGTAGAGAGAAGCACACATTAACTTCACCGGAGCTATTGAGTTGGGAAATGAAGAAGCACAACTATAGCTTAAGACATGACGATAGATCTGTCTTCAGATTATCATTCTGATTATATTATTTTAATAACCATGAAATTCCGAGAGCTAGCCAACACAAGTTTCAAACTCAGTGGATAATGGACCTGCCTCTAACCCCTCTCCACTTAAATACTAAGTGCGCTCTTATCAATGAACCAAAACCCCTCCATGTTTTCTTTCCTTTCATTTCTTTTGACACCTTTTGCTTCATTTTACAGTCTGCCCCTATAGCGTGTAATGCTGAATTAGTTGATTATAGTAACAAAAGATTCTCCTTCTGAGACCGCGTTGGATACTAGATTTTCCGAGTTAAGGATTGGAAGATTCCTATTTCTGAGATGATAGTATCTTTTTCATGAAAACAGTTAAGATAGCAGACTACTGCAACTTTGGTCCATGGTTTCTATTACTAAAAGTTGTATAAATTCCAACAGCCTTAGTGATAGGAGGGAGAATATCCAAGATGGTATAGTCCCATTCAAGTTGATTGATTGTAGTTTTTTCTGTCCACTTAGGTTGGATGGAATTGGACCAGTTAGGAAATTGGATGAAAAATCTATGAGTTCAAGTTGCGTCGTCCAGCTTCTGTTAAAGGATAAGTACTCAAGTTGGCCATTGAAGTGGTTAATTCCAAGTTAACTCCCAGAGCATTTCAAATTGGTCCTTCAAGATGGTTATTAATTATTATCTTGGAGAAAAGTCTCTACGTGGGTGAGATTCCATAGAGTTTAAGGTATGCACCATGAGAGATTGGAATAACTCATCTCCAATTTAAGCAATGAAATTAAATGGCTAAATGAAGAACTACTTAGATATGCTTATGTTTTTTTTTTCCCAAATATGTCAATCAATATATAACAAAATAGTAGCTGTAGAGATGTAGTATTTAGTTTCTAGTACAACTGCAGATCATGCCCTGATGGCTGATTTATATTGGATCAGTAGATGCTGCAGGGTCGGGCGTGCTCTGAGTTATGGATCGGAAGATTCTCAATTTGGAGATCACACTCTTTTTCATGATGCGAAGGTTGTGCTTCAATGAAAAAAAAGTTAAGATAGCATATTACTACAACTTTGGTCCATGTTTTTGCTGGCTTGTATGAGCCCACCACGAGTCAAGAAACCAGGTCCCTTGACAGAAACTAGTAACAAAAGGTTAAAGTAAGGAACTGTATGGATGTTTACGTGGAAACCTCCTTGCTCAAGGGAGGAAAAAACCACGACCTGTGACACAAGATTTCTCAAAGCTCCAATATCTTCAAGCAACTCGTAAATACATACTCGAGTATTTACCAAGGATTGAACTTGTAATCCTACACACCTTGTAGCTACTTTATTACAAGACAAAGCAATAACACTATTGTCCACTATAGCAACTACCTCTAGCTAACATAGACTTCAACAAACACAACTCGACTAGCTCTAGCCACAAACTCAACTCTCAACAATTACTATAACAATCTACAATCCTTTATATCATCGGGGTAGATCTACAATAATGGAACACAAGACACTAAACTCAATATACCACTAAGAATGCATTCTCCTCAAGTTTTTGCAGATTTACAGTTGCACACAATTGACTTGTCCTGTAAGATTAAAACTCTGGTCTCTTTGCTCTATAGTTTGTTAATTCATCAAAACCAAAAATACAACAGTTCTCCTCATGTTTCTTCCATCATTTGGGTCCTAACATCATCCTGGTGGAACAGAATTCACTCCATGACAAGAGAGCTTTCTAAACAGCTGAGCAAAGGAATTTGATGGACTCAGATTGTTATTCAGGTTCTTGGTTGGATCACATTAATGGTTTATTTTGCATTTCGAAACCCTTATCTGCTGCAATTTCAATCCCAGTCAGGTGCTTTATGCTGGTGTTATGATGTCATTGCAACGAGAAGGAGATGGAAAAAATTAGAAATCAAGGGGCTTCCTGAGGAGACCTGCATCCATGGCATTTATAGTTATGTGGAGGCTTTAGATCGTAGCGTTTAGTATATGTAAATAGTCTCATATACTGACAGTATTTAAGATGATACGATATGATTGAGAGTTTCTGTCAATTTTGAAAATATCTTTTTATTTTTTAGCTTGTTTTGTTTTTTAGTCAAAACTACTGAGGTTTATTAAAAGTTCCCCACATAAATCATAATGTAGCATCTCAATAAAAGTATATGCAGTTATATATATATATATATATACCTCTGTACACCATACACATGTTGACAGTGTGGTTAACCTCACTGTCAACAACAACAACCAAGGGTATCACAAAACCTGAGCTTCGGGTTTGGCATATATATATATATATATATATATATATATATATATGCATGATACAATTGAACTGGTCTTCGTTTGTTTGTTCGTTCACTAGTCACAAGTCAAATTATTTGCTTTAGTCCGTACATGGAACGATATACCGTATATGGCCATACCATCCTGCACAGCACTAAGAAATAAAAGTATGGAGAGGCAATAAGAGAGTTTCTAAAAGCATTAAAAACTATGGAGAAGATGAAGATGAAATTTGGAAGAAGACAATTCTCAATTCCTAATGAAATAATGTTTGAAATATTCTCATGGCTTCCTGTTAAATCTTTAATGTGTTTCAAGTGCGTTTCCAGATTATGTAATTCTCTTGTATTCAAATCAGATTTTGTGGATATGCATAGATATCGTTCCAGCGGAACAAAGTTTTTTCTCAATGAAAGTAAAGCTTTTTACGCAGCTGAGCAACAGGAAGATGAAAATATCTCTTCCTCCCTTTTTCAAACGGAGAGATTCCCTGCATATTTTCGTTTGAATTGCGCTAATGGTTTAATTTGCGTTTGGGAACCATATTATGTGCGACCTGCTTTAATTTTCAATCCCAGTACAAGAAAAGTAAGATTTCTTCCGCACCCAAATAAAGTTACTTCTTGTGGTGACTATTTATTAGGTTTTGAGCCAAAAAAGAACAAGTACAAAGTATTTCTTTCAGAAACACAAAGAGGGTACATGAAACAATGAGTTTTAACTTTAGGCATAGATGAATCGTGGAGAGAGACTCAAAGTATTTTCCCTTCTCTTCCATATGGTGAGCCTAGTCCATATGGTAAGCCTAGTGCATTAATGGAGTTATCTATCAGTTTGTTAGGGCTCACAAATGTACTATAGCAGCATTTGATGTTAAATTTGAAAAACTCGAAATTATTACATTGTGGAATGAATCTTACTGGGTGTGCGCTTACCGGTTGATAAAGGTGAAAGGAAAATTAGCAGTTGTGGATCATCACAGGGTAAAGACATCCTTCGACTTGTGGATTTTACAGCACTCTCCAAAAAGAGAATGGAAGATACGTATCATTCGATTTCCTTCAAAATTATGATGACTATGCAAGGAGAAGGAGATGGAGAAAAGTAGAAATCAAGGGTCTTCCTGAGGAGACCAGCATCTATGGCATTTATAGTTATGTGGTGGCTTTAGATCGTAGCATTTAGTATATGTTAAGACTTTCATATACTGATAGTAAGGTTTATGGGATTTGTTAATTTGTAAGAAATTCTTTTTATTCTTAGCTTGTTCTGTTTTTTTGTCAAATATCCATACAATTCATCAATTTGAATTGGCATAATACATAAATTGGACCCTTAACTGGGGTTCAAATTATAACTTTGACCTTTAACTTTGTCATGGCACAAGTAGGCACTTTAACTATTCAAAACTTAAACAAAAAAAATACTCGAATCCTACCTGGCAAAATGCGTGTAATACACCCAAATTTGGTGCGTCAGAGGTAAATTCGAGGGTCCCAACAGTTAAAAAAACATTGAAAAGACTATTAAATCCTTAATCAATCCTTTTATATATATTTTTTAAATTTTTAAAATTAAATTTCACTTTATTCTTATTCTAATTTTTTCAACATTTTCCCCTCTTTTTTTTTGCATTATTTGTTGTTCATTGCAAAATGCACAAATTGCAAGTGACATTTAATTATTTTTTGTTATTGTGAAAAAAAAGTTATAATGAAGTTTTTTTATTTTTTCCTATTATCTATTGTAAGCAAGATGGGGATGAGTATACACTTGTAAAAATCGAACGCAATTTAAGTCCGAAGACTCTCAATCAACCACTCTGATCCACACTTAAGGGACTCCTTACATTTTGATTAGCTATCAGATTGCTACTCAAACTTGACAAAAATCTTGGAAAAACTCATTTAGACATTTTATCAAACAGTTTAAGTGCACCGTTTTACTTAAACAATTTTTAGCACTCTATGTTATCTTTTAGCCTCCGAAAATTCATAATTGTAATTTGCTACTCACTATGACAATCATAATACACAAAGCATCCTTTTTTCTCATTAAGTATTTGACAACTTAAAGCACAAAACACTTCAAACTAAAGCAAAGAAGAAAAAGTTAATTGATTTTCATGTCTTCCTATATCTATGGGCTGCACTGAAATAATTTTGCAACAAAAATGTTAGTTTCCTCTAGTGATTCCCATATTGACTTTAACATCTGACCAACAGTATACAATTCTTATTTGTAAAGTGTTGAACCTTAATACCT